TCCAGGAGTCCCAGCCACCTGTCAGCACACACACAGAAAAACATTTCCGGATATTCCAAGGGTTTCAGATGCTGTGGGGCAGGAAATGGGTCCAGAGACCAAATCACTCTTACTGTGCCACACCTGCCCCTCCCCTCACGCCTAACCCCATTTCTAACCACTTCCCTCTACTTTCTCCTTCCAGCTCCTGGGCCGTCTGCTACGCTGCTGTCCCTGAAGACACCATGCAAGCTCCCGCTCTACGGCCTTGCACTGGCTATTCCCGTGCCTGGAAGACACGTCCCCTGACACCCACAGGGCTCCCCCCAGCTCCCTTCCTGATGGCTTTGCTCAAAAACCACCTTCTAAACGAGACCTATACTATCTAAAATTGCACACCACCCTAACCTCCACACTCCCAAGTCCCCTCACCCTGCTCTACTCTGTTTTCTCCTTGGCATTCTTCACCCGCTAAAATACCATATACTTGACTAATTATGCTTATTATTGTTTCTTCTCCCCATCCTTAGATTGTAAAGTGAATCCCTAGCACCTAGAACAGTGCAAAATGCATGGTGGGTCCTCATTAAATACTGACTGCATGAGGCTCAGGAAATAAAGTGAAACCTCAACCAACAAACCCTCTGAAATCAGGGTCCTGACAAAGATGACCTAGACACGAAGGGTACAGGACAATCTCCCGCCATCTGGCCACGAGGCCAGCGTCAGCACTACACTGACAAAGAGACTGGATGACTCTCAGGCCCACACAGCAGTACCATACTGGAGGAAAAACCTTCCAGGATCCTAACGGCCTGCTGGTCTGAAAATGGAGAGAACTCCCATGAGAGGGGACGGGTTTATTATGCAGGCTGAGAAGTGTAAAGAAGCCAAAGTCTAAAGTGTCTGGCGGACAGACAATGTCCTTCCTCACAATTTCACAGACAGAAGATTGGTTCTTAGCTCAGACCTTAACAACCTCTGCACATGAATTTTTTCTTTCCTTATAAAGTTGAGAAAATTTACCTTTCGAGAAGTGTAAAGAAGCCAAAGTCTAAAGTGTCTGGGAAGTATTTACCTGAAAGGTAAATTTCACTTTCCAACTTCTCTTTAGCATATCCAAATTTCGAGCATCACTATTCTTGCGCTTTGGAGCAACGAGTAAGTAAAATGGGGGTGACTTGAACACGAGCTCTGCGATAGCACGACAATCAGTGTGATAACCCAGACAGCTACTTAGTGACGAATGGGTGGAGAGCATCTACAGGCTGGAAAAGCTGGAGAACGGGACAAGTCACCTTGGGATGGTGAGGGATGGTGCGAGATGTCATCACCCTACATTGTACAGTGCTCAATCAATTAAAACTCATGAATTGTCTATTTCTGGAAATTTCCATGGAGCATTTTCAGACTGCGGTTGACCGTAGATAACTGAATCCACGGAAAGCAAACCAGAGATAAGGGGGGACTACTGTATGTACAACTCTTCAGAAAAATACCTATAAACTTCTTTCATGATAATTTAAATTCATAAATAACATGATGATGCATCCAGCCACAAAAAAATAACCAGAGTACCCCAAATGTTACCTTGCCATTGCTCTCCTCGTGCCTCTGGGTCCCTGGGAATGCTCTCCCTGCCTGCGTTACAGTCCCCTGTGCTATCCATCTAGTTCTCTCTAGCACTTAAGATGACAGTACACATATCATCATCTTCAGGTGACCTTAGGTAGTCTGTCGTCCCTCTATAGCAATACGGTATAAATCTCTAACAAAAGGATGTACAAAGTACAGCGGGACACACAGAAGAAGTAATCTATTGTCCTTTACTGGACCAGAAAATACTTC